ATCACAGAAAAAGGGGAGGGGAAGACCGTGAGAGTGAATGAGTGATGAGAAAAAGGGTTAGGGTTAAATGGTTAATAATGGGTTGGGTTAATTTTTATGGGTTGGGCTGGTTAATAATGGGTTGGGTTGGGTCGAGTTGGGTTGGATAGGGTAAAATTGGATTAAGTTTAATTTTAATTAGGTTGGATTTGAAGGTTAAATTAAATTTAAAAATAAAATAAATTTAAATATTCTTTTAATTTTTGCAAGGACGGGGATTCTCATGAAGCGGGAAAAATTCTTCATGAAATTTTACAGGGAAAATGCCCCACATCCCCATCTCATCCCCATGGCAAGGATCTCCATGGGACCCGCAAGAATCGAGAGAAATTGCCACCCCTACACATGGCTTTCATTTAATTTTATTAAGTGCAAATGAGTAATAGAAACTTCCATTGATTCATGTTTATTTATTATTATTTTTTAAATTTTTTGTACGATGGATGCTTTTGAAATACAAGGTTGCCGGTAGTCTGGTTTATGATGCACAAAACATGCCAATGTGAGATTTGTTGTACACTACTGTGCAAAAAAAGTATGCTAATGAACGATTAAGGGCTGGTGCTTACTAGTTACATGACCATTGCGTTGCCAAAGCCAATTTGATAGAAATGGTAATTTACCAAACACCTTCTTAAAGGATTAGGTTTTTATCCTCGCAGAATAAAGCACATGAGAATATTGAAATTCAATAAATTTTTTTTTTTCTTTTGTGAATAAAATTATTTCTTTGGCCTTTACAAGTGCTTCGGAGAACTATAGTGAGTTCTACAATTTAACTTCAGTCCTAAATATGGTTTCCCCATATTTCATTGTATGAAATTTAATCTTGGAAACCCAAAATTTAAGTAAACCTAAAAATAAAGCTAGGGTTGATTATGCTAATTTTATATGGGCCGCCATTTTAAATTTAATCTTGTTTTTAAATTTTTGGGTGATTGTCAGAATTTGTTTTAGATGTGGTTACTGTTTAGAATCTCAAACAAATGGGCTATTTATGGTTAAAAAGTACATTTGGTATTTCTGAACAAGAAGGAAAGAATTAACATTTATTACCACAGAAGGACAATATGATGGAGTATCTTTTTTCGATCTCACTTAAAAGAATCTCATTGACATCCATGACAATGTGAAACCTGATTGGAATATCACTAAGCAATCTAGCCTATGAGTGAGTGGATGAGTTAGCTGGAACTCTTTCAGTTTAACTAGAGATTTTTTTTTTAAACTCTGGGAATGTAGTTCGGTTAAAACTTGTGAGAGAGAGTTTTACCACCCATTGGGTCTTGCCCGGCTTGAATCCGGATTAGTCAATAGTCCAATGAACTTCCGAATATCAGGTGATCCACACCACAAAAAAAAAAAAATCACTAAGCAATCTTCTCTCTTCTTTTGGACAGTCTAATAATGTAAAACAGTAAAATTGATGTTGCAAACGTTGAATAAAATTGATCACATTTTGAGAATTGCTCTTACTCATACCCACTATGACTACAAATTGTTGCCCCTAATTTGTCCTCGTTGATCAGAATCTTCTTGATGAACATCTGCATTGATATTCTCATCATATTCAATTATGCAATTATAATTCTGGGTTTTGGTTCTTGTTTCACTGAAGTAATAGTTTTCTGTCACTTAGGAATGGGCTGGCCATAGCAGATTTATCCGGGTGGTACCGAATACACCATCAGCTGTGGGTGAGGCAGCAACAGGTACGTATCTTTTTTTGTTTGTCCTTTTAACGTAATCCAAAATAAACTATATTTATGTATGGTTGTTAATAATTAAGTCTCGTGGTAGGATTTTATCTTCCGTATAATGTGGAGAAGAAATCATTCAAGACCAATGGAAGAAACTACTAGTCAAATCTAAATCATTTACCAGAGAAGGATCTGTGGATGTGAGGAAGCGTAGAAGATTGACTAAAGCTTTCAAGTTGTAGTTAAGAAATGTATGAATTTCAGTGAGAAAATCAGATGGACAGGCTTACGTCTCTTCTATTGAGCAAAAAGATACAAAGGCTTTCAGCAAAAAGACTTAGAACTTCAAAATCAAATCAAACTGTATATTATCAAAGGGAGAAGGTTTGAGGGGTTTGGGTAGCATCAAGGTAAGAGATCCATAAATTTTTGGTTTCTGAAAAACGTGATTTGATGAATATTCTAATTTTGTTTCTGCATTGTGTGGATTGTAAAGTCTTGTTGGGCTGATATGTGGCATCAACATTTGGAAATTCTCTTAGATAAGGCAAATTGTTGATCAGATTTCATATTTATCTTCACAGAAAGTCTAATTATGTCATCTAAAACTACTTAGGAATATTGTAGCTTAGGAAGCTTTATTTTCTTTTCATTTACATATATTTTAACCTCTTGAATTCCCTCAGAAAGTGTGTTTTTTAGGTTTGAATATCAGTTTTGTGAATATTGTATATAACGATGCATCTTTCTGATTTAGATGTAAGCTGCAAAACAGATGGCAGGAATATAAGTCATGTTGACTAGTATCATCCCTCTATAGTCTTTGGACATTACGTTTTGATTAGCATGCTTCTTTCATACCATTCCCCTTTTCTTTTTTTCTTTTTTTTTTTTTTTTTTTTCTTTTTTTGGGGGAAATGTTC